AGGAAGGAAGGAAGGAAGGAAGGAAGGAAGGAAGGAAGGAAGGAAGGAAGGAAGGAAGGAAAAAGGAATAGAGCTAAGGGAGAAAGACAAAGCAGGAAAACTTCCCAAAGCAGGGCCAAGAGGACACTAACTTCTAGTTTGATCAGCACTGATTCCAGGATTAGTTACTAAAACTCTGCCACCAAAACTGGCATTGAAACTGGGGGCGGGTGTCTTCAAGGAGCCCCTGGCTGGGCAGCCAGATGAATGGTCAATGAGGAAGAGGAGTAGACCTAGGAGATGGAGAGCCTGATCCATACAACAGCCAAATGCGTCTCAAACTGCCACTGGGACTAATATGAAAACAAAAGGCAGGAACTGCTGCTTGTTGCTCACCACAAGAAGCAAGGGATCAGAAGAAAAATCACTCAGAAGAGGGCTTCTTGCATTCAGTAACTAAAAGGAAAGAAGAAGAAAAATAAAATAATAAAAGGGAAGAGAAGAGTCTTGCATGGGAATGGTTGAAAAAGTCATCTCCTAGAACACAAAGAAATATCAAAGCCTAATGGGAACAGCAGCCACTAAGCCTTAACCTATATCAGAGATTAGATCAAGCCTAATGGACTCAAAGACTCTAGTAAAATAAGGCCTGGAATCAAGGAAGGAGGAAGGCCAGGATTCAGAAGTGCAGGACAAAAATTTTCAGACATTTACCAGTACATGGAACTGTCTAGAACTCAACAAATGAAAATTCTTCTAGCTTTTCAGGAAACTTTATTGTCAAAAAAACCCCTGAAGCCAGATGCAAAAGGCAAAAGCACCAAATAGCTTGCTGACTGTAGATAAGGAAGCAGATGCTCTCCAGACAAATCCCAGAGAGTGAGCATGGGCCAAAAGACAGTGTAGGAGGAAGCATTCCAATGACAGGCGGAAATCCTTTCCTTTCATTGCCAGTTAGCCCACCACCCACAAGAGAGGAGCAAGAAGAAGCCCATTGAAGCTGCAGCCACTCACCGGCTGGTCAAGACCGCTGTGCCTCTCCTCCTTCTCCACAGTCCTCCGGCAGTCTGGGCATACCCACAGCGGCAGGTGCAGCACGCTGTTGCCCTTGGGAGCCATGGAAAGGGCCAATTTGCTCGCAGTCTTAACTCCACTCTCTAAGAATGAAGAGTCTTTCCGTTCACTTCTGCATAGAAGACAATAATCCCCAGCGGGGTAGGGTGGTGTCCTATGATTCATGCCAAAACTAAATGGAGTCTGGAATAGAAAAAAAATTCTATGTTCAAAACCTGAACCAGGAAGCCAAGATTGCTGTTTGTTTGTTTGTATGTATGTATGCATGCGTGTATGTGCGTATTTATATACGCACATACATATATGTATATATTACACATATGTATATTTATATAGAAAAACAAAATAGGAGACGTATTCTAGAAACTGGTGACATTTCAAATAAAATAGGAACACCATAAAGAAGTGCTTCACCCTTCACTTAGACTCAGTCTGCATTAATTCTATCAGAAAAACCATCAGCACAGATCTTCACCTCAACCAGGCATGAAATCACAAAAGAAGTATTTGCACACAAGGGTTGCACCAAGGCAGCAGCTCTGGCTTGAGAGCATCTCTGAAGAAGGCCATCCCTGGTCTAGACTCCAGAGAACAAAGAATCTCAGGGCAGTTGCATCCCCAAGACCCAAACTTCCAAGCTATGTGATCATGATGTTGAATTTATAGCTTAATTCCAATAGTTACCATTCCAAGACTATGGGGTAAATGTAGGAGTAGGGGCCTGAAGCAAAGGATCCTCTGCCCTTGGAATACACAAAGAAGCTAAGGCTCATAGGTTTGGAAATAGAAAGTGCCAAGGCCACCAAACAGGGAGCAAGATTTTAAATCAAAGCAGAAAACTGAGATGGATCTTCCTATAGCATTACTGTCTAATAGCTGAGGGACACCTATAGGCATAGGGCAGCCCCAGAAGGCAGAAAGCACCTTGCAGGAGCTGGCCTGACACACTGCAATGGCATACAGCAGATCTCTCTTAAGCCTTTCCTGTCATTGGCATCAAATAGGAAGAAAGAAAATTTCACTCTTCTCTAGTGCTCAGCTGGCCTTGCCAAGCCAGCTTCTCAGATCTTCCCTTAATCCCATCCATGGCTCTCCCTGCACTATCATCAGAGTGTGCATTAACAACACAACTAACCTACAAGAACCCAGAGCTCCCAAGTGGACCTTAGGCTACATAGAGGCACTGGAGCTGAGTAAATGAATTATTGACTGAAGGAAAGTCTTTCAATTTTACATACTCTGATAAATCAGTGGTTGAAACAATATGTATCCACTGAACCCACAAGGCTTGAAGGGCTTTACTAGCCTGAGTTCAGCAGTTATTTCAGTGGGTGACAGCAATTCTCCAGTTAAGGCCTGCAAACCACCCAAAAACAGTACAAGAATAATATCTTTTTCCTATACCAAAAGACCTGGGATGTCTACATTATGAGAATTTCAAAACTCACCTCACTTAAACCTGTCTGTTTCCTGTCACAGACAGAGTAACCACAACCACCAGAGATCACAGGCTGTCCATGCACATGCTAGGTTCAAGTATACCACAGACCAGGCCAGAAATGCAATGTGACAGCCAGAACTGACAAAAGACACCAACTCATTCATCACCAATGCAAGGGTCCAAAAGTGTTTTAAGATTTCAGCTTTAGGGCAGGAGAGATGGCTCAGAGGTTAAGAGCATGGCTGCTCTTCCAGAGGTCCTGAGTTGAATTCCCAGTAATCACATGGTGGCTCACAGTCACCTATAATGAGATCTGGTACCCTATTATGGCATGCAGGCATACACGCAGGCAGAACATTGTATACATATATATAATAGACAAATCTTTTTAAAAAAGATTTCAGCTTCTTTAAGCTGAATATGTATCTGTGGGTAGGCCCAAAATTTATGACTATGAAGATTTTGTTTCAGATATACCTTACACAGACAGAAGCCGGTGTCATTCTATTCATATTTTTTAGTGCATCTACATTGTGACTGCAATCATTAGGTGAGGTCAGGTAAGGGAAATTTATCAGTGTCATACTGATACTTAAAATAGTTTGAACTTGGCAGTACTTTCAGATATCAGGGATGCTCAACCAGTACTCACCAGAAGTCCACCATGTACCTGAGCACTAAGGCACTGTACTGGGTAAGCAGAGATCTGTCTAGCGGAGCTAATGTCCTCACCAAAGCAAAACCAAAGATCAGGGCTTGGAATGCTAGCTACAGTTCTAACACTCTGAGGCTAAAGCATAAGTGTTTTAGGCCAGTCTAGCGTAGAACCTTTCTTAAAAACAAACAAGCAAATAAAAAAAATATAAGTAAAAATGTATTTTAGGAGCAACTCAGAGTGCCAGTGCTGGGAAGAGGGCTCTTTCATTTAGGTTGCAATGAGGGCCTCCATCAGGAAATACCTACAGATATGTCACCTGCATTTAAATGTAGAAGAAGCACAAAGATAGCAGGGGATGAAGAAAGAAGAGTCAGAAAGAGCACCAGCTCCAGGACGCAGAAAGGAGAGCTTACAGGACTAGTACTGAGCCGAAGAGAGGCCTGAGACAAGATGGGTCAGGAACAGTTCTGAAAAAGACACATCTATACACATTTAAAATCTCTACTCTGGACCATCTTTTAGGAGAGAAAAGAATGAAATGCAAAGAGTAGAGGCACTGTTCTTCTAAAGGACATTTAACAAGCAAACTCAGAGTTACGCGGGTGGTGGTTTCTTAGTCTTTGTTTTGTTTTTGGGATGGGATCTTTCTGTATTACTCAAACTGGCTGCACAATCCTGGGCTCTGACAATCCCCCTACCTCAGTATCCCAAGCAGATAAGACTACAGGTTTGAACTACCAAGAGTGATGTAAGAAAAGGGAGGGGGGAAAAAAGCAAACCAGAAACCCAAAGGAAATTACTTACAGACCCAAGAAAGGAGTAAAGTAATATACACATCTGAATATGCCTATGGCTACCATAAACATAGCCAAGGAGCTAAAGCTTCTGCAGCAAGTGGGCGCTGTCAGAAAGGACATGCCAGCCAAGCTTCTGGTTCTCACACAAGAGAAGACATGACCCACTATCCATCTTAAATATAAATTTTACTGTATGAAAAATAAACTCTATACAGTGACATAAGCAATGCTGCTACCCGCAGTTCTAAGAGAAAAGGTAGCTTATACTTATGGGAATACAGACTATATATACAATACAGAAGAGCAAGGTGAGACCCACAGGTACCTAACAGGTCAATGACTAAAAACCAAAGAGGAATCCTAAGGGATAGTACAGGTTAGACCAATGGCAAGAACCAAAGGTCAGCTTAGATGCTGTTCTCATAAGCTGCAACATACAATGTAGAGTTTGTATTTGGTGTTCATGACTAAGATACTAAGGAAAATGGGGTGTAGTTGCATATATAACTAGGTATCATGTTGGGAGCCACCTGGAGGCACAGGTTGGTCCTGCAGTTTGGAGGTATACCTGGCTTAGCCATGTGGGGCTGAGCACCCTTGCCTGCACCCTTGCTTGCACATGCTCAGACCAGCAGAATGGCATTAACCAATCAGGACAGCATTCAAGCCTCTCCACCGTTTAAAAGCAGCTGCCTCGGGGGCCCAACGCTCTCTCTCTAAGCTTTCTCTCATCCCTGCTCTATCTTCCCTTCCCCCAATTTTCCTCAATCAAAGGGCTCCGAATAAAGACGTGACCAGGGAAGAAATTCTCGTTTTTAGTGGCGTTCATTCCTGCTGGTCAGGATGCGCCCCTCAGTATCACAAATACAAATGATTTGAAAGTTACAGAACTCGGGGTTAAAGTGTTTAAGCACTTGCTGTGCAAGCATAGAGACCAGTTTGGATCCCAGAAATCCATGTAAATGTTGGGTGGGTGTGGTGACCCACCTGTAATTCCAGCATGGGAAGGAAAAAATGGGGGATCTGTGTTTGGCTGTATCAAAGAGTAAGAGTATCTCACTTATTGAGAATGATTCCTAACATCAACTATGGCTTCCACATGCCCGTGGACATAAGTACCCACATACAAGGGTCCACAAACATGTAATTGCACATATGTCTCATTGGGCTTGTGTATGTTCTTGCATTGTCTATGGTCCAACATCTATTCAAATCTTTGACCTGGATTAAGTTTATCAGTCTGATTATTCCAAAAAGAATTAACTTTGATTCGATGAGTTTCTGTAGGGTGCTTCCACTTTTATTATGGTTAATTCTGTGTTGTTTTCACTTTCTGGTAACTTTAGACATTAATGACTATAAGCATTTTCTACTTTGTTAAGGTGGAAAATTAGGTCATTAAGCCCTTATTCTTGTATTACCCAGGTTATTAGTCATATTTTCATCTGTGCTCTACTTTAGTTATATCTAATTTTCATTAGTTAAAAAATAATTTTAAATTTCATCTTTTTTGTTTGCTTGTTTTTTTGTTTGTTTTTTTTTTAAGACTGCGTCTTTCTATGTTAGACCAAGTTGGCCTCAAAACTACAGAGATCCATCCACCTACCTATGCCTCCTGAGGGCTAGGGAAAAGGCATGTACCACCACAACTGGCCAAATTTCACTTCTGATTTCTTCTCTGACAAATACATAAGTATGGTTAATTTGTCAGTATTTGGGGGTTTCTATATATCTGATTCTAAGTCCTAATATAATTCTACTATCATCAGAAAAGACCCTTAGTGTAAATTAAAATCTTCAACACTTGACTACTGAGACTTTTTTAGTGATACAAAACGTGATCCAGATTGGTGGATGTTCACTGTAAAAGTCAGCATCTTCCTAGATGAGAGTGGCCAACTATGAAGCCTTAGAAAGGTTTAGATCAACATATATACCCTGGGTTAGAATAGCTACTCCATACAACCATCCACACTAATCCTCAGATCTCTTCTTCTACTTCACCTCCAACTGCACAGAAATGGCTCACAATGCATGTAACCACAACAGTTGCTAATTCAAATCCCTTCTGTGACTCCATTTTCTAAAATAGATGAATCCTCAGCGAAGCATCATGCAAGACTTAATAAGGCTCTCAGACAGTTGGGAGTTCCCTTTATAAACACAGTTAATTATCTAGTTGAAATGGACAATTCCACATTGCTATTCCATTCATTCTTTGTTTGTTGTGTTTGGGAGGGAGGTGCACCACATGTATGTCATAGCATGTGTTGAGGCCAGAGGATGCCCTGTCATC